AAAAAAAAAAAAAAAAGGAAGAAAGACACTGATTAATAGGGATGAGATGGTAGTTATTTGGAGACTGATGGTAGAAAGGCAAACTGTGAAGTCATATGATATGACAGCACATGTTTTACTTTTTAGGAACTGCCTAGTTGCTTTACAAATCCCTGCACCCTTTTACATTTTCACCAGCAAAGCATAAGAGTTCATATTTTTCTACTTCCTTGCTTACGCATTATCCTCAGTGAAAGAAGCCAGGCACAAAAGGTCACGTATTATGTACCTCTACTTGAGTCAAATGTCCAGAGCACACCAGTTCTTAAGACAGAAAATAGATGAATGTTTCCTGGGAACTAGGGTAAGACAGCGAGAAGGAATGACTGCTAACGGACAGGCAGGCTTTCTGGTTGCAAGGAAAATGTTTTGGAATTAGATTGTGATGATCGTTGCACAAATTTGTGACTATGCTAAAAGCCACTGAAATGTAGAGTTTAGAGAAAGGAATTTAATGGTGAATTATATGAAAATTATATCACAGAGAAGGCAAGAAATGACTGAAAGTTTTCAAGTATTTAAAGTAATTATATGTGCTTTGTGATTGGAAACTTATAGTTGCATTTTCTGAATGCAATTTCAAAGGTCAGTTCTCTTTTGTCTCTTATTTCCATTGATGTATCTTTATGAGTGGATAATTATGATTTAGTCAAATGCTTGATCTTTTCATATTGATATTATATCCAACAATTCCCTTGAAATTTCTAATTCTACTGTTGTCTTTATCTTGATGATATTATCATCAGCAGATATTTTTGTCTTTGTTATTATGACTACTAAATTTGTCTTATTCTTGAAGATAAAACCCTTGTTATATAATAATGATATATTTTTAGATATTTTAAATATATTTTAATTTTTCACTTTTAAATACATCTATTTCTTATTTTTAACTATATTTTTTCTTTTATTTGGGAATCATTTTCTTACCTAAGTTGTTGAGAATTCTTTGTCATATATGTATGTTTAATTATGCTAATTTTTTATAAAAATAAATTTCATATGTAATACTTTCTGAAAGTGTTAATATGGTAAGTTATATTAGAAAGGTTAATAATATTAAGCTATTATTACTTAATACCATTATAGGATATACTGTTAGTATATTGTTTGATGCTGTCTTCTATATTTATCTCTTTAATCGCTATATAATGTAATTGTTCTGTCTTTGCCAGCTCTTTATTTAAATAAAATTATCCTTACAAAATGAACTTAAATGAACTGGAAATTTATGTAAAGAAGGAGTGTCTTTTTCCTCTTCAATTGTTTTTCTTCTTCAAGTTTATTCAGCTTTTTAAATCTATCTTACTGATACTTTGTGCTTTTACTTTGAACTGTGTATAATTTTTAATTTCTAACACAAATAACATATGTCATTTTCCCTTAAAGCATTCAAGTGTTGATGTTTTCTGTTATTTACATTCCACTTTGAAAACCTCTGATTTTCCCTGACTTAACCATTATTTTTTTTCAGAATCTCTAGATTTATAAAACCTACTACTTTTTAATCCTTTCAATACAACTTTATTCATCAAATCAAAATATATCCTCATTTTTTTCTTAGTCCTGAAATAGTCACTTCTATAACTATGGCACTTTTATGCATGCAATATATATTACTTTGCATATTTTTAAATATGTGTAGCATCTTAGGTTGATTCTTGGTATTAATTGCTATGTCTTCATTTTCATTGGCAGTGTTGTGGCCTAGATCTAAAATGCCCTCTGATGCCTCATGCTCCTGCCATATGACTAGATCATGGGTCATTATACTCATGAGTAGATAAAGCATCAATGAGTTCATAGATGAATGTTCTGTTAGAAGGCAGAGGCTGGTCTTTCTCTCTGGCTCCTGCCTTCAATCTGATTCCTGGATGCTGTTAGTAGACTGCCTCTTCCAGTACTACATCCCTCTGCCACTCTGTTTCTCACTGGCGCCAGCTGACGATGGTTTGAAAATGTGCCGGAATAAACTTCTCCTTGAAGTTGTGGGTGTTGGGTACTCTTTCCAGGAATGAAGAAGTCCCTGAGACAAGTACTGGTCAGAGACAAGTGGAGTTACTGCTGTGGCAATACACGGTCTTGTGAGTTAGACACATTTGAAACTTGTTTGTAGGAGTTTGAAAAGTTTGGAGATGGTGACTTAGAGAAGCTGTAGGATGTTTCAAGCAGAGCTTGATGGGTGATACTGATCAGAGCTCAGAAGACCATAATGCTGATAGGAACACAGGCAGATAAAGGCAGGCTCAGGAGGTTTGAGATGGGAATAAGGACTCCACTGGCAGTTGCACTAGAGGCCATGTTTGTTATAGTCTGGCAGAAAATTTGTCTATGTTTTGCCTGTGTCCTGAGACTAAAGGAGCCTGAGGTTAAGGGCAGTTTCTAGTTAATCTGGCAAAGCAAATAGCAAGATGTTCTAATGTGCAGGCTGTAGTCTGAGTACTGCTGACTGCTCTCAGCTAGACTGACAGTGAAAAATGGTAGAGGTGAATAATTTGAAAAGTCCGCAATTTTTCCCAAAGGGAAGCTCCTGGAAAGTTGTGGCAAGGTAAAGAATGGTGATTGGAAAGATTAGCATTAACATGAAGCCGAGCATTTTGTATTAGAACAATAGGAAGAATAACTTGAAGTCATCTTAAGAATCAATAAGGCCCTACATGTGAAAACTGTGGGTTTTATTTGAAAAGAGAGCCTCTAGGCCCCGTTCTGGAGAAGGGCTGCCTAGGGAAGTGGCTTCCCAGTATTTGTTTCCCAATGCTCAACCATGTGGGCATTCAGAGACCTCGGCCACTGTGATACAAAGGGGTGGTTACTGCTTCAGCTGGTTGCACACCCAGGCATCACCCACGCAGTGCTGATTTTATAGATGTGTTGGATGTCAAAGTTATGGAGGAAGGAAAGATGTAACTCGGATTTCAAAAGAAGATCCTGAGAAGCATGGCTGTTTATCCCAGAGAAGGCAACCCATGAAGCTGTGGTAGCGAAGCTGAAAGAGCCCTGGAAACCCTAGGAATTTGTAGATGCCAGGTCTGCCATGTGAGCTGTGAGGAGGGCTACCTCGAGGGAGGGCTGTGGATGCTGCAACTGGCCTTGCCACAGGGATGGGGCTCCCTAGCCGTTTGGAGTGCACATCTCACCCTAACTGACTCACCCCTGTTGTTGGACATGGAACCATGGGAGATAATGTTTACCCTGACCATTTTCAGTCGTGCTTTGGTCCCAGTCCTTCCTATGCCTCTACTCCTCTCATTTGGAGTGGGAACGTTTATCCTGTGCCATTGTGTGTTGGGAGTGTAGATGCTTCCTTGTGACCCTTTCAGGGGCTCACAGCTGGGTGTGTCTTGATTCTGAGAGGGATTTTGGACTTGGGTTTTCAGCAACGCCGAGGCTGTCGAGACTTTGATGAGCCTCAGAGATGGACTAAGTGTATAACGAGATGGACATGAATCTCGGGGGGCCAGAGGTGCAATGTTATGTTTTAGGTCTAAAATATACACCAACATATTCATATACTTGGGAGATGGCTGGCTCATAAGTGTACTGTATGTACTGTGCAATGGACTAATCAACTAATGAGTTCATGACTGAACTCACGCTGTTAGGTGGCCAGGACTGCCCTGAAGAGGTGAACCACTCGGGACACAACCTACAAGGGTATATGTCTCCTTTTCTGGTCTCTCCCTTCACTCTGCTCTCCTTCTGCTGTGATTTCAGCGTCTCTTCCTCTACCATGCCCCTTGCCAACTCGTTTCCACTTTAGAGTCAGCCAAGCATGGACTGAGAATGCGGGCTGAAAGAAGCCTTCCCTCCTTCAAATTGTGGGTGGTAGCAGGTCTTTTTTCCTGACAGGGAAGTGATTAAGACAGTGAGGCATTACAAACTTCTTATTGTCAGCTGCTTGGTGTTCGGTGGCAACAACTTAGTGAGGTAGGTACCGTAACTCTCTCTCTCCTTTGCAGATGGGAAAACTGAAAACAGAACAGGCAAGAAAATATTTAATAGGGATTTGAACTCAAAGTGACCTACTTCCAGTGTTATATCTGACCTTGGATTATTTCATGGTTTTATTCTTCCTTTTGTCTGTTTAGGAGCACCTGCTCTTTATTTTTTAGATTTTTACATTTTATTTTTTTTATTCGTTTCTATTCTTTTTGAGTTACGTCTTTTTTTCTTTATATCTAGTAACTTTCATTACTGATCCTCTCATATGACTTAAAATATTGACAATTTTATGTTCATTTGTAGGCACATTTTTGTTACCAGAAAGATGTTGATTGTTTTTCATGCCTAGAGCTTCAGGAAGAAGTAATTGTGTCAGCAGCAGCACAAGAGAGGTGTGCACGGATTTTTCTACTTCTTTTCAGTAGAGGAACAAACCATTTGGTGCCCGGTTTGGCAGATGGATTGTGTCTCTTGTTCACTGCTGTGGATGATCAAGACCACATGTACGCTCTCTGTGGAGGCACTGAAACTTACACTTATGGTGGGGGATATACTTTTCTGTTTCCAATTTAACTATTTAACCTACCTAAGTAATTCTATTCTTAGTCTACCTGGATTTAAACTGTTACTTTGAGGGCTGGGGATTTAGCTCAGTGGTTCCACTGCCTGCCTCGCAAGCACAAGGATACAAGTTTCATCCCTGGTACAAAAAAATAAACAAACAAAACAAGTAAGTAAACTGTCACTTTGCAGGCTTTTCTACTTGTAACTTGAGAGTAAATTGCATCTTTGTATTACTGTAATACTGTATGGATAAAAGAATTAAACTAAAATATGGATGATGGAATCCTACTGCATCAAACATCTACCCCAAACTACTGGTCTTTGCAGAGAGTGAAATGAAGCTCAAGGTAATAAAAGTGGGCCCTTACCCTTTGGAACTATGTCCTTCCAGAAAGGGGGGAACTTGAACACAGGCCCAAACACAGAAGGAATTACAAGGGGGACCGAGGCTCTGCATCTACCACCAAACACGGCCAGTGAGGGTCTAGACACCGGGGGAAATGGGCACAGATTCTTCCTCACAGACCCACGGAAGCAGCGCTGGTTCTGGACTTGTGGTCTCAAGAACGGCAAGGTGGCTAGGCCTGGTGGCACAGGCGTGCAGTTCTAGCTCTCTGAGGCTGAGGCAGGCAGATCCGGCATTTGGAAGGAGTCTGCATTACCCGAGCCATGGTTCTTTATCATAACAGCCCTGGAAAACAGATGCCAGTGTTATCCGGTTAAGAAGCATTACTGATATTTGAAACTTCTTGACTTATTGCCTCTTTCTTAAAGCAACAGAGAGGAATACATTAGGATAGAACCATTTATTCATGGGCCCTTGCACTGAGAAGCACAAGTTTTAAAAAGTCCACGCTGTGTATTAAGAAGTGGTAGCCCCAGAGATGGGGATAAGATTCAGTAACACAGCTTCATGCTTTTCCCGAGATGGGTGAATCTAGCGTGTGATTGACTCGTGGAAGGGCTACGCCTGTAGGTACTGGACCTGGGTGCCACCGGCCCTAAGCAGCGTGAATAGGACGAAAGGGGCCGGAAGGCTCTGCTGAGGCTCGTTGTTGCTTCTGCTGTCTTCCACCTCCAGGAACGGTTGCCCCTCTGCTACCCCGCCTTGGAGCGGCCGATTGTGGAGTGAAACCTCTGTAAGTTGTGAGCCGAATAAATCTTTTCCCCTTTAAAACTTTGAGTGTTGGGTATTTTGTCTGAGAAATGGGAGGAAAGTAGCTAACACACACAATGGATAAAAAGATAACCGTTAGTAAGGCTAAAAAGTCAAAGAAGATATATGCGCATACCTTTTCCACTGAACTGTTGTGCTCTACAAGGGAACGCCTTGCTGAAGAATGGCAAAGAGAACTTGAGCAAAGGAATTCCGGTCACCATATTTGGCTGAAGAAAGACATTTTAGTGGGTGAGAGTCGGGATGTTTCCAAATACATTTGAAATGGAAGCAAATTGTGGCCTCTGGGGTATAGATTATTTGGACTAGCAGGAGAGAGGGAAACCATCTCTACCTCATGGTGTGCCCTTGATTTGATAAACTATAACAGAAAAGAGAAATAAATTTTCACTGACCTGTGTCTAGAAGAGTAAGAAAGAAATGTATCTGTGCAGCAAGAAACAACTTTCTTTTATCTAAAGGCCAACTCCGTGTAAAGTAAAATATTTATAGCTCTTCTAAGAGAATGCGCGTTCAGTTATTTTCAACAAATCTCTGCTGTCCTTGTAAAACTCTGACTTAAGAAGGAATTTCATGTGCTGTCAAACAGAGTCATTTGAACTGGATGGGCCCAATCTGCATGCAGACTGAGTCAGAGTCTTCCTCGGAGTGGGGAAGCCTGGGTATTCATGGAGGTAATGTGAGGTGTAATCATCAAGTTCACTCAGATGCGGCTCTGTGCAAAGCAGCAAGCTGAAGGCACTAAGAACCCCGCCCTCTGCGACATGACCAGTAACTGCAGTGCTAGGGATTTTCTCAAAAGTTTCCACCTGCAACACCTTCACAGCATCTCGTTCCCCTCAAGGTCCCCTAACCACACTTTCTATTCACTGGGACATGACACACAATGCACCATCTATGTCATGGAAGTTGCAAAGTAAACCACTGCAATCAGAAAATGTGTCCAGATACTTTTTGGCTACACAGCTTGGTTCCAACATTCTAGAGTTCACTCTGTATCAAGAGGTTTAAAGACTGGAAATTACTTTATTAGATTGCTGGCTTGCAGGGCTGCAGCCTGAGTTACCAGATGCAAAGAAATTGTGTAAGGCAGAAAGCTGAATAAGAAAGTTATATTCTTTATGTAAAGCTTGAAGCAAGCACATGGCGTTTGTGTCTGAGAGACAGGGCCAGGGCTGGGCCAGCTGCTGGCTAAGAGGCATATGCTCATCTACTCTTTCTCAGAACCACTGTCACCTGGAGTGGCCTTTGCACCGCCAGTGTTCCAAGAAAGAGATACAACTCCATAGCCTTTGCCTCCTGGACTTTCTCCAATCACAGTTTAAGCTTCACATACTTGAGATACATAATGACTAACAGAGAAAGAACAAAATAATACAAAGTTAAAAAGGCCAACGTTTAATAAAAAATCTCTTGGGACAGGAGAAATGGAAGAAAAAAAAAGAAAGGAAAGGAAAGAGAAAAGGAACGGAAAAGAAAGGAAAAAAAAAAGAAAAAAACAGAAAAAGACGTGCGCGTTTCAGATAATGGGATGTCCTAGTATATGGAGACTTTTATAAATGTATGTGTAACAGCATACAAAACTGCATTACTGATAAATTTAAGAATGTTAAGCTGAGAATTTGCATTTCTAACCAGTTGCTAAGTATTGCTGGTGCTCTTAAGTATGGCGGTTTAAAAACTCCTTTTAGAAGTTTCTCTGACTTTATTCTGCCCTGGTTTGCAGAGGATGCCAATTGACTGGTTCTGTGCCCCAGGCCTCTGGCTTCCCTTTCTGGAGTCATTAACATTCACACAGTAACTTCTTTGGATGACTTTAGACAGACAGGGAGAGAGCTAGAAATAGCTGGGAAATTGTGTCCTTTCGAAGTAGCTTGCATTCGTCGACAGATTTGTAAAGGAACCGAACCATACTTCTCGGAGGTGGTAAAACCTTCGGAGCAATTTATGTGCCACATCTTGCTGTGGCACCAGGCTGACATGAGGCCTTCCTTGGAAATCCCTCCCCATCCACAGAAGCTTCTTCTGTGCTTATACTTGCTTCCCTCTAAATTCCTGAGTACAATCAGTACACGTGCACCAGAAAACTTCAGAATATGTAGTAGGTGCTGGACTGTTTCTCTTATCTATATTTTCCCCTCTTCCTTAGATTTCCCCTATTTTTATACCTGCTAGCTTTTGATGAAATGTCAAATACTGACAAGAGAAATGTCCAGTACAGCACCTATTAACTAAATATGTTGTGGTCACTAGGTTACAATTAGGAGTAAGTACTTCTGTTGTGCTATTACTGCATAGTAGTGTCATTATAGGTAGTAAAAATGTACTTTCCATTTCAAAAGACTAGAAGAAAGTGTATTGAAAGTGTTTGCTGTAAAGAAATTATAAATGTTTGAGAAGCTAGATAGGCTTAAACTGAATTGAATATTATACCATGTACACATATATTACAACATTACATGATACTCCATAAATATGTACAGTTTTTAGGTTTTTTAAAAGGCTGGGGCTTGCTATGTAGTTCAGGCTGGCTCTGAACACACAATGTAGTACAAGCTGGCCTCAAATTCATGGGGATCCCCCTTTCTCAGCCTCCTAAGTATAGGAATTACAGCTGTGCAGCACTACACCCAGTTAAATTTTTATGTTTTTTGTGTATTAAATAAATTCTATTTAAAAATTTAAAAATGAGACAGCCACTTTGAAACACAGCTTGCAGCTTGTTACAAAACTAAATGTATTTTTATCATATGACCCAGTAATTTTGCTCCATAGCTTTTGCCCAAAGGATTTGAAAATTTATTTTCACAGAAAAATTTTTCAGAAATGTTTGAAGAACATTTATTCATAATGATAAAATCTTATAAGCAACCAAGACATCCTTTAACAAATAAATGTATAATATGAGCTGGTACATTCAGACAATGGAACAGTATACAAAAGTAAAAAGAAATTAGTTAACCAATCATGAGGCAACATGAAGGAAACCCCCCACACACACACCCCAGGACCATAACATACCTTTATTATGGAGAGGATCTGCTGGGCTGTCTCTGAACGAAAGAGAGGAAGCAACATGGAAGAACAAAAGGCTTCTTTTATAGGAGCAGGGTGGTATTATGGGAAGGAGGCTGCTATTCCATGTGGCAGCCATTTTAAGGCGCAGAGCATGATGGGAAGGAGGAGGTTGCAATTTTATGCAGCAGCTATCTTAAAGCAAGGGAAATCTAACATTCCAACCTTT